TTTTGTTCACGTGTGTCCACAGGCCGTGGAGGAGGTCTGGATGACCAGTTCTTTTTCAGCTTATGCAGCGTGTTCTATTGAGCACCCAGATCTCCTGGGCAGACCTCGTTCTCTAGGTACGCTAACTGGGGGTAAAAGCAGTGGAACAGATATTTCTAGTTTTTCTGAAGGACAGTATGCTATGAGAAAAAAAATTAAAATTTAATAGTTCAGTAGGATTTTCTTGAACATATAGTTAGTTACTCATCGCTATTTATAGCACTATCATTTGAATATCCCTAAAGATGCAGTCATCAGACTTTTTTTCATTACTGCTTTGAAGAACAAACCCATACTTGTTTTAACAAGTCACATCATGGGAGATGTTATTCTACACTCTCCACCCACACAACCCTGGGATTTATTTCATTTGAGAGCTTGTTAAACATAGCAGCAGTCAAGTGAAGAAACCAGTGTTCCAAGACACAAAGGATTTACACCTATAAATCATGAACTCTAGTAGTGGGAAAGGACCATCGTTGCTTTGAAATGGAACAGTCAGTAGCGCTCTTCAAAGCTGCGAGAGGCTGGATTTAGTTTTTAGCTTTGCGTCACCGAGTGACTAATCGCATTATATCTATTTAGGTTCATGTGTTCTCTGTCCACCTTTCCTATACAGATGGGCCTAAGGGGAGGGTAGAAAAATAAAAAGCATTTGACAATCGCAGAAATGACAAACTCGCGGTAGAATTCAATCCTGTGGTAGGACGTGAGGGGCCAGATTTCACCCCATCTCATGCACGCGGGTGTCTGTGTAGCTGTCGCAGCAGTTACGCCGTGGCAGCATTGGTCACCTTTGCAGAGGGCTCCAAGCCAGTCTGGGGTCAACCAGCTGCAGCAAAGAACAGGACACGCTTCTCCCGCACCACCCTCGCAGCAGCTCACTGCAACATACGGGGCAGCTATTTCCCTTAGCATCTGATGCATTTTCTTAAGCCAGCTGCTCACCGTTGTGAAGCAGCCCGAGACGAGGCTAATCCTAGCAGTGATGTTGACATTCAGAGGTACCCAATGCATCAGAAGATTCGTGCCGTGGTTTCCCCTAGGGGCAGCATCCCGTCAGCCTTGGGAAAGGGCTTTTAATTCTAATGTTTGTGCATGTTTCTTTGCAGTTTTTCAGTGTGCTTAAGAAAGTCTCCTATTAAGGGAATTACAAGTTCAGTATGAAACTTCTGGGATATCTAAAATACGAATATTGTGAAGACTTGTTATTCTAAGTCAGAGGTATTTGGAAATATTTATGCCAGTCGGGGAGACAGCTCAATATTCAGGAATTAGCCACTCATATTATGGGTCCAGTCTTACTGCCCGTGAATAACAACTTATCCTCTTCCTCCTTGTACAGTTTTGCCCTACTTAACTCTAGAACAGAATTTATACACCCCCCCACCCCCCCCGAAAGTTCCGAATTTTTACTTATTTTTTTTCCTTTGTAAAATACTTCAGCAGCACCAGCTGGGCGGGGATTTTGAAGCTATTTCCTAAGACAGAACCGCTTGCTTCAAGGGTGCAATTTTTTCCCTAAATATAGTTTTTCCAACTGCATAAAGACATAACTAAAATAAAATTCTTTCTCCTTTCATTCCCTCACTGTGGCTACAGTGTATTTTGTGCTCTCAAGTAGCAGGGAAGCTCAACCGTCCAGAAGAGGAACTTCAAAAATGTTTTTAGCAGCAGTGATTTAGTAAGTGCTGTTCAGGAAACGTCTCCTGTATGGCTCCCCACTCCAGTCAGTGCTGCCATTTCTGGTTTAGGATTAATGAATGTTTCCTCTAAAGTAAAGAAAATGTGCTCCTGAAACTTAAAAATTCAGAAACTGCGGCCCTCCCATTCATGCAGTCCCCACTGGCAGCGGGAGCACTGCGGTGAGTCACCTGGTCCATACGCCCGTCTGTCTGTCTGTCTGTTTTCAACTGAGCAGGCCTAATGGTATGTTTAGTATGCAGGAACAAGAAGATGTCTCAGAAGAAGTCAATGCAGTCACGCTTTAATGTCTTTTTACATCCCTTTACGATTCACAAAGCCAGAATATAAGTACTTATACATTTTTAATAGGAAAGTAATATATTCCCCTAAAAGAAAAATAGATTTGATTAACCATTTGTCATAAAAGTTGCCTGACAGTTGAAACTTCAAGCTTCTAAGCTAGAAAAGCTCAAATAGACAAATTATACTGAAATGTTCTTTAAAGACCAAGCAGCTGTTTTATTAAAATATTAAATTTACATTTTAAAAAGAAATATTCTGATTTATTATTCAATTATGATAATATTATTGAAGTGACATGAAATTCATGACCATGGGCTTTATTCTGTCCAAATTCTGTCCTCAGTTATCCGCAGGCAATCAGTTTTGCCATTATTTAGAACTGTGCAAGATCACACACCCAGAGAAGCACCATTCTGGAAAGACAAATCCAAGACACTGGATTTCAACTGGATTCTAATTTCCCCCAGAGAAGGTGGGTTTTCAGGTCTGGGACTAGGGCTGGATCCAGCGCCTGCTGCACTGAGGCCCTTGGGTCAGACCCAAAGGACCCATCCAAACCTCACTGCCACAAGAAACAGAAAAAGGATTTCAGAATACACCAACTTCGTCCCGCAGCACAAGTGAATGACCTTCAAACAACTTGAAGCAGGTTGAATTTACATTTTACTTCAAAAAAAAAAAAAGGTAAAGTACATACATGAGGGGAAAACGGGGTGAACAACAATTATCTGAAACCAGGTTTCTACCATTTTTACCTACAGTTACCAACTGCATTTGAATCAGGCGGGCTCTTGCCAGCTGTCGCACGCTTGCTTACAATATGAACAGGATTGTGGATCAAGGAAACATTTTCAAAGTTGAGGCCCAAATGGAAATAGTAAGATATCATACACAGTGTAAGTTTATAGTACACAGCATTTTTTTTTTAAATGACGTAATGCAACAGCAGGAAGGAGTAGTAGTAGTTAACAGTTACTAACACTAGAATAATCAAATTTGTATGTTATACATATACAGCAACTAACTGCTTTACAAAAAAAAGCAAAATAATACAATATATTGTCACATGTATTTACAGTGTAGTAAATATACTTTTCTGTCAAATTTTACACAAAAACTATTTACAGGTGAATATACGGCATTAAAAAAAAATTGTGGGACCAACACGAAAAGTGACTTTCTGTGGTAAGTTTGTTGCATAACAATAAGACGTGCTTCATTACATTTGAAAAAAATTAACCTCAGAATGAAACAGAAAAAGCCCTAAAACCTACAACCCAGTTAGGAATAGAGCACCGGAACGCTCCCAGGTGCTCAGTCCACAAAACTTAATTGAAACGTTTCCTGTTCTTGGAAACCTCATGCACATTAAAGCAGAAACATTGGCATAATTAACAGGTAGGTTATGCACTACTCAAATACTACTGAATTATCTTTAAGTCGGGGAAAATACAAACACAAACAAAATGTTAATCGTCTTTACAGTACTTAACTGTAGTTAGTGCGTAATGGATAACGTGTTCTAAAACAGGGGTGTCAAACACACAGTCCCCACGATGTAGTTATATGGTCCACATGGTAAAACCAGATTTTTCTGAATCTAAGTTTTCATTTCAAAGTGCGCAGACTCCACGGCTGCAGTAGCCCACGCAGCAGTGACTGCCCGCGTCTGCAGGCTGCCCGAAACAGCGACGCGAAGGTCGGAACTCTTAGATCTGTCTCCCACTCATTAGATCAAGTTTCAAGCCCACATCGTCACCAGCGACCACCTGCTGATCACTACGAGCATAAACGGAGTAACGGGACGAGGAGAGAACGGGAGCAGGCTGGGCTGGGAACTGAGAGTGGTGCTCACAGGAACGAAACAGAGCAGGATGGAGAATACTCGTAACGGGAGAAGAGAACAAATAAAGGAGGGTGTGAGAAAGAAAACAGGCAAAACAGCAGCAACGGCCGTTACAGGGAGCAGGCTAAGAGATGAACGTGACAGTAAGGCACTGAACAGCTCATTACTAACAGAAGTTAATCGTTGAAGAAAGGCCGTGTCTTCCCCTTGATCTGAGCACAAGCTTCCCAACTCCTGGCACTGGGGGATAGCTTCCCTGTGTATCGGGGCACACGTGATCCCGAATTAAACCTTGGCCATCGACTGTAATTACACCCAAATTCAGCCCCCATGACCTAACGTGTTTGACACCCCTGCTCTAAGAAGGTTCAGGTCCTCTCACTGAACCACGCAGTGAAAACATTAAATGACACCCCCTCCTTCCAGGAAATATTATAAATTAAATTTTGTTGACTGACTTTATGAAGATAGCAGGTTTTTTCAGCTGGGACTGAGAGCCTGGAGTAGTTCTAGTTCTCAGATGAAAGGTAATTTTAATCGCTGTCCGTTTTGATTTCGCATTGTATGTATTTCAAAGAATGCCTTAATTCTAATTGAGGGACACTTTTTTTTTTTTACATAGGCAATGCAAAATATTGAAAGAGCTGCTCTCAAATGCACCCAGTCCAAACAAAACCAATTTGGTAGTTCATCTGGAATTACTATTCCTGTTTAAAGAAAATCTGCTCGTAGGAGAAACAACTGAAAGCTGTATTTTTCTAACAGCAAATTACCTTTACAAGAGATTCTTTTTTCCTCCTAACTACAAATGCTCAGGCTTCCACAACTCATTGTCTTCAGCAGAACGGAAGGGGCTGGACTTCGCTTGATTCAGTACAACCACGTGCAAACTGGCAGCGATGCTGAAGGCGGCTACTGGCAGTTTGATGTATGAGATGAGAACGGTTTTTAAATCGGTGACTCCCAGCGTGTTGCATGCGTAGCAGCGCAGGACACGGCACGAGTCACTGCTCTACCCCTGCATGCAGTTCTAGCCTCACGATCCCTTTCACAGTTCTGCATCAGCTCAGTAACCA